GATCCAGCGCTCCAGGGGCAGGAGAGCATCTCATGCTGGGCCGGGGCAGAGCGGGCAGCAGAGCCAGGGCAGGAGCAGCCCCTGTTGCGCCAGAGCTCAGGCAGTCTCAGGCCATCGGTTACTGCCGAAAACACAGATGCTCGGGGAGCGGGTGGCAAACACGTTCCCCAGCTTGGGCTCATTGAATGGGCAGAGGGAGGATGAGGAGGCAGCAGGAGAGGAGGGAGCTGCCCCAGCCTGGCCATGTATCCCTCCCCAGCACCTCTCTACCCCCAGGGAGGTGAATAAATAAAGTCTTCAGGCACACAGGGACATGGAGATGTCCCTTTTCGGACACTGCATGCACTCAAGATGAGGGGAGTCGCAGCTTCGAGCCTAGGTTGTAGAGGAAGAAGTAAACTTCCCGTTGATGATAAACGGTACAGGAAACGTGGAGGGAAAACGTGGTTCTTTGCAGCTTCCCAGGCTCTGCAAAGCTCTCGTCCGGCAGGACCTGCCTCCGCACTGCCGGCATCCCTCCATCTCCTCTAGGCTTTGGCATAATCTAAAGCACATTTGACCAAGCAATGGAGCAAAAGGAAAGCTATAAACAAACGCATGTAGAAATAGGGACAATTCAGGCTCCTTCTCCACTGGTTGTGTGAATTGCTGAAAATGGTGGTTATTTTTCCCTGCTCCGGGCAGGCTTGACCACGCTCACCCTCCACCACCTCTCTGCCCCACAGCCTGCAGCGCTGGCGCCCGCCGCAGCCTGAAGACCAACTTGTGCAAGTGGTGCGACTCCACGCTGCCGGCCTGCGAGGAGAAGGTGTGCTACAGCAACTGCAACCTCAACTCCTACTGCGAGGACCCCTACGAGATCTGCGTGGCCATATGGTAAGCAGCAATCCCCTCGTCAATGGGGGACGCAGGGGAAGAAGGGTTTCGCAGGGAGGCAGCTCATGGGAACGCACGTGTATCTACCCCTGCGCTTGAATCATTGCCCATTAAAATAATTCAGGACTCTCTCTTCCTCTCCCTTTGACTCCATTATAATAAAAATTACAATTTGCAGTAAAAAAATTATTTGGTCTGCCCTATAATTAGTACCAGTTTATTTTCTAAATAAATTAAGTATTTAAGTGCCCGACACAGAGCGTGGCAGGTTTGCTGCGGGACCTCTAAACCCCCATAAACCCCTGAATTTAGCTTTACAGCCTGAACCTACTGGGCAACACCCGCAGCCCTGACTCCCAAACCCATGCTGTCCTCCTGCATCAGGCTGGTGAAACCCTGCTTCATGCACAGGGGCACAGCCGAGGTCTGTCCCCATCCGGCGCGTGGACGTCTGACCTGGTACCGAACTGGGGTTTAACCCGCTGGGCTTAGCCCACCTCCTTCCCATCCCCTGGGAAAAGCCCTTTTCTGCTTCTCCTGGAGATGCCTGGAAGAGAAACGCAATCTTGCACTTCAGGCCAAGCATATGCTGCATCATTTGCCCGGAAGAGTGCCTCCCCCGGCTTTTTTGGTCCCCATAAGCAAAACTAAAAAAACATCCATTTTG